AAAAAAAAAAAAAAAAAACCTTTAAAAAGGGCACTAATTTATTATTTATATCCCACCTGTTCCGAGAAAAAATTTCTAGCATATTCCAAAGTCGTATAGTAAAATATTGGGGAATAAAAATTCATATAGCCTTGTTAAGTGGAATACTTTCAAATTTTTAAATGCATGTATTGTTTGACCTAGTAATTCCTTTAAGGAATTCTAAAGAAACACACATGTGCACAAAGATGCAAGTATGAGATGTTCACCACAGCAATTTGTACTAACAAAAAAATGAGCACTCTTTTAATGTTCAACAATAGGGAAATGGTAACGTAAATTACAATCTAACCATAAAATACTGTGCAGTCCTTTAAAGATAATCTCTATGTACCAACCTATCTATATGTATAAATTCTCTAAGACATATTAAGTCTTATGGTTATGTATAGCATAATCCCGTTTGTTTAAAAACACTATATGTACATGTATATGTAAATACGTAGAAAATGAGATACATATCACCTGCATTATCTTCGTAAGGACTAGAGGAGTAAAGATAAAAAGGATTTTCACAATTTATATCCCATATAATTTTTAAAAAATATTTATGTACATATTACAAATATATTATTATTGTATATAGTTTTGTATCACTAAGTCTTAAAAGGTTACTTTCTTTTTGTGAAGACAAATATAATAAACCCCTTCATCGGTTATCAACATCTACACTAAGCCTTGGAAAGTTCCTTTTAAAGGGTATATCATGCTGGGCATGGTGTGTATACCTCTCATCTAGCAACTAGGGAGGCCGAGGCAAGAAGATCTCAAGTTGGAAGTCAGTCTTGGCAACTGAGGTCCTAAGCAACTTAGCAAGACCTTGTCTCAAAATAAAAAATAACAAGGGCTGGGCATGTAGCCCAGAGGTAAAGCACCCCTGGGTTCAATCCCCAGTATCAAAAAACAAAAAATTTTAAAAATCATGGCACAGGAATACAGGTTTGGGGGTCAGACAGGGTCAGATTCTGGTCCTTGCTTTGGCCACTTAGCAGCTATGTGACTTTGGGCAGGTGATCTCTGAGCCAGTTTTCTCATTTTAAGTCAGGCTAGTCGTTACCTTTCCTAGGGTTGTTTTATACTATGCTGAGGCCAGTGTATCTAGTGAACAATCACTATGGCAATATCTGTAAGTGACCTCTTTTTCCAGGACCCTTCTGCAGGCACCCTGGGCAGGAAGAAACCACAGAGCTAGATGGGAGAGTACTATCAAGTCAGGGCTGAGAGGAGGCAAGTTGGGGACCAACTTGAGGAAGCAACAGAGATTCAAGTGGGAGCAGTGAGGAAGCCCAGAACATCAACTCTTTAATATCAGGCCTGAGCCAAAAAGCAAGTGGGGTTACTTTTTATTAATGTTAAGTAGTTAGGAACAAACAAAACGAAGACTCTTGAACTTGCTAGTTCTAGTCCTCTGTGCTCCACCCTCTTTTCCGACCCCTCACTGCTACAGCAAGCTTTCCAGTAAATGTTGGAAAATCCCAACTCTCTTCCTCCATGGGGGATGTGGGGGTATTAAATCTGGAGAAAGGTTTAACACACCGGCTCCAGCCAACCGGGAGCCTGATTTCCTTAGTAAGATTAAGATCTGGACCCATGGAGTGGTCCAACCCAACCCCCCCCCTCCGCACTTGGCCCAGGGATCTTCTGTCAGACAATTTCCCTCCCTGCAACTCCCTAGAGCAGGGCTTCTTCAAGTCTCTTCCCCATTTGGCAACTTGTGCAAAGCTACCTGAAATAGCAACAGTTTAAGTCTTAATTAGTAAAGAACTCCAGCTACACAGGTGGACTCAACCTAAGAAAGACACTCTGTGGGCCTTGTGGCTTATTCAGGCCCTGGAAAGACTCCATCATTCTTGGATCGAGCAATGAATTCTGTCTTTCAAGGGATAACTGAGGGAGGTAGACCAGCATTCCCACCCCACCCCCAATCCTGAAATATAGCCAGCCAGTAGGGTCTAGAGCCATGTCACATAGCATCCTGAGGAAGTGGGAAGCAGTGCAGAGTAATTATTAAGAGCAAGAGACTTGACTTAAAATTCCAGCTCTGCCTTTGCTGGCTGTATAGCCCTGGGCAAGTCACTCACCTCTTAAAAAAGTAATATCAACTGGTTTGCAGAAGACTCCACAGATACGAAGAATAAACAGGTAACGTCTGTAAAGTGTTCGGCACTGTGCCTGGCCCATTTCAAGGGTTCACTACAGGAGAGTTATAATTATTTTTACAGCCTAGAATGAGCATGGGCTTTCATAGCAAATAAACTAGTTTTGAACCCTGGCTTGATTGTTTACTGACCAGCCTGGGGCAAATTACTAAACTTTTTTGAGCTTCATATTCTGTAGATATAAAACGTGGCTTATAAATTACAGGGAAAAAAATTCTTCCTGCCTGCATTCTGCATTCCCGATGTATACTAAAACACTGCCAACACACCAGAAAAGGGGATGAAGAGAAAAGTATCCCGTGGCTTAGCTCATCCAGAGGCTAAGGGAACAATAAAGGAGGCAGCTATGGGCCTGTTATGCCTTGGGATTGGGATGGTAAGGGGCTGGCTGGTGTTTCAGTGGAAGTAGGAACAAAATAATTTTTATTTTTCCTGGTTGAAATGACCAGGCAAGGTTTTACATATCATTCTCTTTAACCATACATCCCAGAAAGAAGAAAAGCAAAAGATACCTGACTACACGGACAACAGCTCCCAGCCTCACCACAGACGTCTTCACAGCCAGTGAAGCCCCCAGGCCTCCTTTTTCCCATCACATCGCTTCTTTGCAATAAAGCTCAAATTCAACCCCGAGTGTCACTGCAAATTGTTTATTAAAACACAAAGCAATGGACAGTGAAAAAACATCCTGATTTTTTACTTTTTGGTGGGAGTGGGGTGGGGCACGGAAGGGGCAGGGACAGATGGAGACAGCCCAGAAGGAAAGACAGCTCTATCTACCCCTACTGCTTCCCTGGCCAGCCAGGTTCAAAGCCCCTCAAGTACATCTCACTGTGCTGCTGCTGTTAAGTACATACTGTGGCTACAGGCAAAGAGTTGGTTTGGCATCTGCAGGGAGAGGATGGAAAATCAGAGTAGAAGCTATAAGGGCTACTAAGAACTGACACATTTTCTCCAATACTTGGTACCAAAGAGCGCAGCCAGGCCTAATTTGGAGGGTCAGGCAAGACAGCTTAGGCCAACTATGGTTGAAGAGGCTGTCATGAGCTCAGAATGGGTACCTGATGGTAGCCTAGGAGAAACTGATGGAAGGGAAAGGTAATGTTCTTTAAATCCAAGGAGGGAGCTAACCCAGGGTCAAATTTCTTTTCATTCCCTGGATCATGACACACCAAACAGAGTTGTCAAGAAAGTCTCTTTACTGGTTTTGCCATATTGTCTCTCCCTGCCAAGTCTCCCCTCCCACCTGGCAACTCGGCTCTCCTTTCCCGACAGTTGTCCTTTGAAAGGACGGAAAGCGCACTTCAGTTTGTTGTTGTTTTTCCTCATACTGAAATAAAGCACTGAAGCTCAAAATAGAGGTGAGAATGGAGTTCTTCTTTTCCCAGTGCTATGTGCTCCCATCTCACAAGACTGCCTGGATGTGAGTGGTGCCAAGGCCCTCTCTGCCAACTCGAACAGGCACTACTGTTTCCCTGGCTGCCAGCATAATCCTGGCTCCTTGTTTTTATACTCCTGGGAGGAACTCGTCCCAAGAGATCCATCCTGCTCTTTTCCTGCCAACCCAGCCAGTCCCCAACTCATCTGCTCTTATCAAGATGATTTGGCCACCCAAAGCAAGTGAGACAAAGGCAGCTTGAGAAGGATAAACCAGATCAACAGCAAACCACACATGTGCAAAAGAAACCCACCCTCACTAGGCAGCTGACCCACTGGTGCCAAGCTTACAACGTGAGGAAATCTAACCCTCTTGCTTCAGAAGAGGTCCAAATACAGAAAGAGCCTAGCTCAGACTGAAAAAGAAAATTGCTCTGATCTCTCTGAAGCATGAACATTAAGGCTTCTTTGCAATTTTCTTAGAGCTCTTTGATCCCTAATTATATCTTTCCCTACAAGAGAGGAAGATTTCTTCTGAGATTCTGAACAGATCCTGAGTGTTTCTGGTTCTGCTTCAGTACACTCTCACTTAGCCTTACCCCAGTCTCCTTCCTCAGAGGCCACAGCAGAAGGCGGCCCAAAGCATACTTCCCCTGGCCCAGTCTTTTTTTTAAAAAAAACAGGACCATTTATAAGTTTCTCACTTGGGAAAGCTCACCTACTCTCCTAGATCCTTTTGGAGAGGCAGGAAGGACAATGTTACATGTTGTCGCTTGATGCCATTAAGGCTCCTCAAGGCAAGAAGACACTTGAAAAGTAGGCCAGCAAAGGGGAGGGGAGGGATGGGGAAGTAGTCCCATGGCAGGGACTGTAAGACCCCTGCCCTGACCTGAATCTAGAGGGAATGCCCACCCTGGCTCAGAGCAGGAGAGGAAAAGGCACTGTGCTGACCAGGGTAGGTTCATCCTCAATCCCCAGGGAGGGTAGAGAACCTGCTGATTCTTTCCTTGGGCTTCCCGAGGTGAACCAATTTCTAGGGAAAGGGATCTAAGTGCTAGGACAAGGAAGATACTGCTGCTGTTTTCTGAAATTCTCAACTTAGATTCTAGAAGTCAGGGCCAGGTCTCCCTAGGAGAGGCTAGGGGCAAAACAAAAAGGAAGAGAAATTCCTTAAAACAGAAGCTTCTCCAGAAAAGACAAAAGTCAAACCACACTTCTAAATCTGGATCCAACAGTTCCCAGGCACAGAAAGGGGGAGGTAAGCCTAATGCAAATTTTACCCCACCTCATCAAAGCCCACATGACCTCTGGCGTGACTGTGACCCCTCAGAGAGAACTCATCACACCTTTCAACAACAAGGTGGCCCTGCAGGTCACAGCTGGTCTTCCTGGGAGTCTGATACCATGGAAGCTTAAAAGTTATCTTTTAAATCATCAGAACTCAGGGTATCCACTGAGCAGCTTCTCCTCAGGAAGGAAGATTTTTCAGAAAAAAACAATGGATTTGATTTACAGGACATGGACCCCACAGTTTCTTAATTTTTCACTCAGCATGAGTAAGATCCAAAATAGTCCAATTAGAGACTGTGGATCACTGACCCAAATCAGACCAGACTACAGATTCAGCCTGTTTCCAGCAGTCATCTTTGCATGGTCTTCTGCAAATTGCACTAGAGCCATGCTTCTGGCAAAAGGAGTTTCACCCTGGCTATCTGCTCTTTAGCCAGTAGGGCTCTATGGACCCTAAAACCCTGGGACGGCATGTGATGGAATAGAAGAGCCTGGCCTCTCCTCCCCAACCAGCCCCAGGCAGACTCCCTACAGTACAGCCCAGCCTCAGTCCTACACTAGTTCAAAATACAGATGGAGAACAAACAGTGCAAAAAGCAAAAGATGAACAGAGTAATTTTTGACATGTACAATACAAAAATAAAAATAAAGCATGCCCCATTCCATCCCTTTAACCTAAACTTCATGTACCTTTATCCCTTGGAGGAGCCAAAAAAAAAAGAGAAAAAAAAAAAGCTTTCAAGTTCAGCAACATGAGCCAGCTGTTGCTAGCACTAGGCAGCTATCTTTTAGCTGGGTGGGCTTGGTTTCAGGGGAATCTATCCCAGCCCCTGCCATAATTCTCCCCATTTCCTCACTTCCCCTTTAGTTTTGTCAGCCATAGAAAGATGTTCCTTCCTTTTGGATACAACCAGAGAGGAAAGCACCCATTCTGAGCCTGGGGGAAGGAGTAGGCTTCTGGAAACAGGCAGAGCAAAGCTGCTTGGCTTACAGTACCATTAGGAAATGGCCCCAGGAGTCAGGGTTTCCTTCTGAGACAATGAGTCACTAAAGAGATGGGCTGAGGTGAGGAGGCAGGACCCCTCCTTCCTCGGAGACCCAAGCAAACTAACAAACAAGGCAAAATAGAGGCAACAAGTCCTCCTTCATCTTGTCTAATCAATTGGCAGTGGCTCACACCTTTGGGAGTTGTGAAAGAACAGAAACCAACACCACTGTCAGAAGCCCAATTAGTAAGGACATCCACTGTCCAGGAAGTTGGTCCCCAAGACCAAGGCTACAGTACCTCAACCTTTAGAAGGGGGCTTCAGGAGCACTCCAGGACCTCTTTGCTCCTCTGATTGCAACCTCAGGCCCCAGCCATCCAGCTGCCTGACTCAGTACCCTAAGACTGAGGCCCAAGTCACAATGAAAATAAAGGGCTATAATTCTCAAATGACTAAACGCTGGCCTGGAGTAATCATTAAGAGCCAAAGTCAGGACGTGAGCCCAAGAACCACTTACTTTTGTCACATAAGGAACAGTTCAAATATACGAAACTCTTAAAAAACATCTAGTAAGGCAAACTGAAAATCAAACATATTCTAAAAAGATGGGCCTGGCCTGAGATTCTGTACTGCTCCAGCTCAAGCTGAAGCTAATACTGCTGCCTCCCACCCACAAAATCTCTTTTAGTTTAGCTGGGTCCTCCCTCATTGTTGCCCTAACAGAGAAATGAATGACAGTGATCAGAAAGGAGGAGAAAAGGGAAATTTCATTTTCTGCAGACATTTTTCTAGGGAATTCCAGATAGACACTTAGATGTTAAGGTTAACCTCAGAGCTGCCAGGACTAAGCTGACTGAGATTCTTTTAGCCCCATCACACCAAGAACCTGACTACAACTTGGATAGGGAAATGAAAAGATGGAGGGGCATAATATTAAGATCCATGAGAAAAATCACTGGGCCAATATGGTCAATCCATTTAGTTCCTTGAGGCAGCTCTGGGCAGAGGACATGGGGATAAATGAACATAAAATTCTAGACACTCTAAACAGTGGTCAATCACTTAGTAGGGCTCAAGTCTCTGAGGTTGCTCTTAAGTTATGCTAACATAAGCCTTTTCTAATCCAAAGACCAGAAGAGACTTTTAAGGTCAAGTGGTCAGTTGCTGCAGGCTGGAAAGCATCCCTGTCCCCTGGCAGCAAGACCCTACAAAGGGGCCAGTAAAGAACTGCTGGGTCAGGTCCTCCTGGCTGCTGGCTCAGAGATCCAGGGAGGGAGGTACCAACAAGGTGAGGTGGTAGAAGATAAGACATTCAAGCACAGAGAATCCAAATCCCCATGTCTCCTTCCCTTCTTGGCAATAATTTAGTGAGGATGGTTGAAAGGGAGAAGAGATTCCAAATGAGCCAGATTATGAAAAAAAAATTGAAAAATCAAGTCCCCAACAGGCACTGAAATCAAAATGATTTGCTGTGGTGACAAGTCAGAGGCAATTTGAGGACCTGATATGCACTAATTGTCTTGGATACCAGACAGTCCTCTAACTGGCACATGTCAGGGAGATAAGCAATGACAAACTCAAATATTTGAGAAGGAACCATCATTGGATTAATCCATAAAGGCTTCCAAGTAAGGAAGCGTTTACTTTTCTTTCTTTTTCAATTCCCCCATGTTTTTGCCTTTACCATCTGATTTATATACCTTCACACACACATTCTTTCAATCCCAGGACATATGAAAACTTATCTGGACATGACTTCAGAACATACCCAACTCCCAGTGCTGGTCTTCTTAGGTAATTAGATGACATTTCCCTATTTGTTAATTTCTAACCTAAAAAAAGAAACCATAACTACTCTGAGTTCAGAGTCCTTTTCACTCATACAAATAAGGATCCTGGACAGGAAGGACCCATTTGCCCCAAGTACCCCAGAGAGGAAAATGACAGCTGGGGCCAGCCACAAAGAGAGGACTA